ATCCTCTACTCTGCCTACCTCTCCATACTCGCTTAAGAATTTGTCTCTTCCATGAAAGGTGACATGCATTTTGTATTCCTTGATGAAAAGGTTGGCACTGAAGAAGCATCCGCACATATAAAACTGCATTCTCAGTGTGTTCTGCAAGTGAGAGAGAGAAAACAAAATGAATTCTTTCAGATATCACTGAATATTCATAATAGTCAGTTATCTGAACTCTGAAGTGATGCATAGTACTATACTCTCTTGATATTCTGTCGAGGAGACGATGTGCTTGTTAGACTGGTGATGGTTAATCACGGATTGACAGGCTGGCGATGATTCTATTTCGTAACTGACATGGTAATGATAACTACTTGATATATAATGATGTTACTTAGATGTACTTCGCCACTCGTAAACAGCCTCGTAAGAACACCTTCACCCCAATTAAAAGAAAGAAATGATCGTAAATTTACTTATGTTAGTCGTAGGCATCAGTCTGTTTCGCACACACTGTGTCTGTAATTAAATAGCTACTCCAGCCCTGTGAAATACCTCCTTACTAGAGCAAAACGCCGGTGTAATGCAGTTTCCCTGACGGAAGGCGAGGCGGAACACGCTCGTTTGTTTACCTTTTGGGCGCGTCCGAAACGGTGAATGAAAACGAGAAAAGGAATATTTTCATAATACAGTTTCTCTATTTTTGGGTACATGCATACAGTCATTAGTATCTATGTATACGGATGGTTAAGAAAAAAATATATAATATTTATTTTCTTTATGCGTATCAGTACACGGGATGATAATATATGAATGAAGCTTATACATGATGATGATGATGATGGTGGTGGTGATGATGATGATAATGATGATGATGGTGGTGGTGGTGATGATGATGATGATGATGATGGTGGTGGTGGTGGTGATGATGGTGGTGATGATGATGGTAGTGGTGATGATGGTGGTGGTGGTGATGATGATGATGATGATGATGATGGTGGTGGTGGTGGTGATGATGGTGGTGATGATGATGGTAGTGGTGATGATGGTGGTGGTGGTGATGATAATGATGATGGTGATGATGATGATGGTGGTGGTGATGATAGTGATGGTGATGATGGTGGTGATGATGGTGGTGGTGGTGATGATGGTGGTGATGATGATGATGGTGGTGGTGATGATGATAATGATGATAGTGATGGTGGTGGTGGTGATGATGATGATGGTGGTGATGGTGGTGATGATGGTGGTGATGATGATGATAATGGTGGTGGTGATGATGATGATGGTGGTGGTGATGGTGGTGGTGATGGCGATGGTGGTGCATGTGTATGTCTGTATATGAATGTTATCTGAGTTGAAACATTCTGAGTGAGATGTGGGCCGTATGCGTTCGTGATTTACCTGCTGTCACGATGAAAAATATTTCCTAAGAACTGTCTTTGGCAAGACGTTTGGCGAACATAAAAAAGCTCTAGTTTGACCGTAGCTGCTCGCGAGATACATTTTCTTTGATCATTTCCGGTGAATATCAGCGAGAGGACTGAGCAACTACAGTTAAACATAAATATCTATAAGTGCAGTTAAACATGTCATTATTGTTTCCTCTTCACTGCATGCACCTTCGATTGGCAGAATGCAAGTCTAACTTCACTGATTTTAAAAAATTACATGAATAAAAAATGAGAATGTGGGGCCTCGAACCAGTGATAAAAGCATGAAAAGAGAGGAGAGGAGGAGAGGAAAGGGAATGTGGGAATGATAGAAGAGAGAGGCGAGGGAAGGCGAGGAAGGAAGGAGGGGGAAAGATGAATAAGGAAGGATAAGTGAGGGGGGGTGGACATGAGTATTGGTCGCTTATCACTTTCCATTGTCATTACTAAAGAGATTGTTACAAATGTCACTAAACATATCACTCACATTCAGATAAGTGCAAGCCAACTACTGCGGTCATTATTACTGTTCTTAATATTACCGTTAGCAATATTATTACTGCAACAAATAATACAGCACGATTTCATTACAATAACAAATAATGATAAGTAATACTCTAATACTCCTGCAATCCCGCTTTTCCGTTCCTAGTTACTATTAAGACTGCCACATGGATAATGGTCACAATTATCAAAATCTAAAAGCGTATTAAGGTATGACACACAGTCCACAACCCTATTCACGACAAAATTCGCGCCTGGGTCACCCTCCAGCTGGCGCTTTAATCTTTACGAAATAATTTCATCGCCTGCAGACGGCTGGGCTCGCCTTGAAGCGAAATCAGCGAACGTAATGGAAGTCCCGAAGATGGGAAAAGAAGGAGGGCAGCCCCTCCCGACCCGGGGAGAAAGATTCGCTTGGTTTTGTTTAAGATTCGTTTGGTTTTGTTTATGAGAAGACCCGAGCCGGGAAGAACCGTCCTCCTTCCCCCGGGTAACGAAGCACCCAGTTCCTCCCCCGGGGCAGCGGGAGGCGTCGCACGGGGCCCAGGCTGATTCACATTACCGGATTCGAACCTGGGCCC